TAAGCATTGTGGAATAGAGACAAATGATAATATTATGTTTTGTTTATTAGAATAGATAGATTAGAATATAAGATAATGTAAGTAATTTAAATTAACCAATAATCACAGTTTTATATTTTATCAAATTAATTATTTAATCTTATTAAATTATAAATTTCTCCAATATAAATAATAAATAAAATAATAATTATTATTTTATTTTATTTTTAATTAGTTAATAATTTATTTATTTATTTTTTATTTTTTAATGTTTAATTTACTAAAAATGTAGAAATTTCAAAACTTTTAGCCCGTATTAGAATTTTACCATCGGTTTTATTTTTAAAGGAGTGAAAGTAAGAATGTTAAAATAAGATCAATTTTTTAACTTGCTATAATTTACCATGGTCATTATGAATATGAATTTAAAAAAGTCAATCATACTATTAAACCCAAAATGCAACTCTCTATTAAGTTCTTGATAAAAGTTATTGATACACAAGTAACATAATACATAAAGGAGAAGGAAAGGCACACCTCTATCTGACTAAAACTCTCAATTATGTACAACTTACAAAGAAAAATCAACTAAAGAAACAAACGCAACATTTTCAATAAGATCAAATTTCTATAAGCCGAAGTAAACTACTTTTATTGAAAGAGTGGAAACATCAAATACCGAATGGAAAAAACACTGCTTATCATATTTGTTGCTCCAGTCAAATAGATAGTGGTTTATAAACCATTTATATAATGAAAATTTTCTAAACCCAACACGATGAATGGTAAAAATCTAACTTTAACAACATTTAAAAGTAAAGTTATTGAAAAAATGAGGTTTTTGAGATTAAGAGAGGTGTTGATGGGTCTATGTAAACTTGAATGACAGATAGATAGTATTGAATAAAATAGTATCTTTCATTTAACACAAGTGGAACTCTAGCACCATAAACTCCATTCCTTGTAGATTACCCAAACAACATCAAGAATGAGTATGGTTCGTAATGTTATTTGTTTCTACATGCCTTCATACTAGACTCCACTTATCTACAAAACCAAGATCAACATCATCTTTTGCGAAAACTAAAAATTTGAAAGTTGAAACTAATCCACCTGTAAAAATGAAGTTCTTTGATGCCCATTTCAAAAAAGAAAATATCATGTTCTTTGATTTCCATATGAAGTAAACTAAGTTCTTTAATAACCATGTCAGATTCTGAAATCATAACAAATTGTGATCTTATTGAGGTTACATTTAATGGTCGGAACCTATACATCACATTTGTATAGACTCTTTTCAGTTTTCAGATACATTTTCTCAACCCATTATTATTATATTACTTTCAAATGCATAGTGACGATGCATACTCGACAATAGATTCGGTGAATTCACAAACACAAAACATATACCATTTGGAGAATTTTTTTACCTCTTATGTGTAGTCTTTCTCTAACCTTCACACCCATTTAGAACATCAAACTCCCCAAATATCTTCCTATGAAATATATGATAAAATTGAATCAAACAAACTAAAATTAAAGCTACTAAAATGCCGCTTACCTTTACAACTTTGATTCTTGAAACCAAATATTTGTAGGAAGATAGGTATTGTTGCAATAAACCCAAGAAACCTAAATCCCCAAATCAAGAATCGAACAAAAATGAGAAAACTCAATAGATGCTATGATTGTTTGATTGTCAAATTACTCCATACCACCATTAAAGAAATTGGACGTCGAAAACTGTATAATAGGACATTAACTTTGTCCAATCGCTCAATTAGCGTACCAGGGCGAAACTTTTCGAACTTAAAAGAAATTAGTAAATTGTGAATGTTGCAAGAACCAAAAAGAAGAAAGTGGACAAACCTGCATGCATAAGGAAAACCTGAGTTATGTAAGATGCATAAGGAAAATATGGGAAAAAATGCATCAATTGACAATAAGGTTGTGAGGAGGGGCTTTCTCCCTTAAAAGGTGAAGAAGATGATTCATGTGGAAAAAAACATATAATTCAAACAACAAAAACATTAATTCCTTTTTCCAGGAATGCCTACGTCAAGTGAGATATAAAGAGCGGATAGAAATTTAGGTTGAATTTGAACTTTGAAATTTGAAAACCGGAGAAGATTACATGTCTTTTTTCTCGTGGAACTCATTGATTTGATAGTGTTACAAATAATAGTCTGGTAAAATTGAAAGTAATCCCAGTAAATCAGCAAATTAGTTACTAAAGACAAAAAAATAAAAACGGTAGAAGGTGCCACATAGCAAAGGAGTAGGCTAGGAAAAAGATACATGGTAGTAGGAGATTTAACACACACACACACACACATATATATATATATATATATATATATATATATATATATATATATATATATATATATATATATATATATATATATATATATATATATATATATATATATATATATATATATATATATATATAGACACACATACACACACTAGGCAAATGCTCGCGCGCTGCGTAGAAGCATCTATATAGCTGAAATCTTTACAAATATATGTTTCTTTAAATATAACAATAATGTTGTTGTTAAATTTGATATAATAATTCGTATACGAAGTTGATATAGTATATTGATTATTTTGAATTATATGATAATATATATATCTATTAAAACTGTATAATCTCAATCTTTTGAATTACCTCTACCTGCGGGTTACTTATAAATAAAATTAAATATAATATATGGTTTAGTATTATTTAGAGTTGTTGTTATTGTTAATTCATTTTCAAAATTTATTTGTTTAACGTTTTAATTTTCATCAGTGTATCATTTAAAACATCAAACATTTTTTTTTTTATTTTAAAGGTAACAATATAATCATTTATATAAAGTTATTTTTAACTATTGTTATTGTAAGTTATTTTAAGCTACTTATTTCAAAACTTTTGACGATTATAAAAATATATTTAGGAAATATTTTAGTGAATTGATATTACATTTTAACTTTTGCATTTAGCACTACAAATTATCATTTTTCACTATTCATAAAATATTCTTTGGGTTTTTTTAAGTAGAACTGAAATTTATATTGAAGTTGACCCTATATAGTTATATTTAAATTAACAATTGAAGTATTTTGTTCATACAATTCAAAAGTTGTAGCTTTAAACTTATAATGGTTTACATACAACAACATATTAAATCTAATAAATTAAGTATAATATATTAAAAGTTGAAGACATAATTTTATATGTAGAAGTAAAAATATTATTTTAATATTGAAATTTAGTTTATTTTTTATTACACTTTAGGTTTGATACTTATTTAACATTATTAACCAATTTATAATCATTATTAGAAATACACTACAATTTATCACTTTTAACTATTTATAAAAAAAAATTTGGGTTGTTTAAGTTGAACTAAATTTTATATTTAAGTTGATACTATAAGGTTATATTTAAATTAATAATTTAAGTATTTTATACAAATTGATCAAAAGATGTAGATTTAAAATGATAATGGTTTACATACAACATATTAGACTAAATAAATTAAGTATAATATGTTAAAAGTTAAAAACAAACTTTATAAGTAGAAGAAAAAATATTTTTTTAATATTGAAATTTAGTTTATATATGATTACACTTTATGTTTGATATTTATTTAACATTATTAACCAACTTATAATAATTATTAGAAAGAAATTGAAAAGTCATGGAAGTTTCAAATGAATGTGGTGAAAGGAAAAAATACATGAGAGTTTCAAATGAATATTTAAGTTGATCCTATAAGGTTATATTTAAATTAACAATTTAAGTATTTTATACAAATTGATCAAAAATTGTAGCTTTAGAATGATAATGGTTTACATACAACATATTAGATTAAATAAATTAAATATAATATGTTAAAAGTTAAAAACAAACTTTATAAGTAGAAGAAAATATATATTTTTAATATTTAAATTTAATTTATATATGATTATACTTTATGTTTGATATTTTTTTAACCTTATAACCAACTTATAATAATTATTAAAAAGAAATTGAAAAGTCATAGGAGTTTTAAATGAATGTGGTGAAAGAAAAAAATACGTAGGAGTTTCAAATGAATGTGGTTCAAAAAAAATGCAAGTTTTATAAGTATATAATGATAATCATATATATATGTATATATATATATATATATATATATATATATATATATAGAGAGAGAGAGAGAGAGAGAGAGAGAGTGAGAGAGAAAGAAAGAGAGATTAACTATAAATAATAATAATAATCTTACACTAAGTTAAGATTTATAACTGTAATAATTTTTAACATATAAAATAAACATTCATTAGAATCATATCATGTCAATGCTCTCTAATATGTCTTACACGTGAATAAAACTAGTATGGTTTTTGATTTTAGTATTGTTTTTAACTTTATGATTAAAAAACAAATCTTTATATGCGTTTTACTATTATGAATAATAAAAAGATATTAACCGGGTATTGATTAAAATTAAATTGTTTAAATGATAGAAATTATATCTTACTGAAAATGATAGGGACCTTGAGTTCTTTTAACTTACTTAATTCATCGTAAATTACAGTTTTTATGGTAGAAAAAAATTGTATCGAATTTTCAATTTTTTATGTAAATATAAAGGAGTTTGTTTATTAGTAAAATATAGATTCACTTCTACACTTTAATAATGTATCTAATTACATAAATTAAGTGGATCTAGTTACACTACTAGAGTTATTATATCACATTATCTAATGAAAAAAAATAGTTAGCACAACATTAAATCAACAAGACTTATTTAATTTGCCAACAGAAGTGATAGTTGTACAAATGACTAAGAAACCTTATGAACATATCACTAAAGTTGGTCCAAGGAAGAAAGTTGTAGCAAATGGTAGAAGTCAAAACAATAAAGGAAAGCTAGTGGACTTAGAATGATTTAGGGATGGAAGACAAACTTTGATGCATATGTAATAGAAAGGGACACACCTTTTGTACTAGTAGACTTTTGTTTAAGTTTAGGATGAAAAACAAATTAGTAGTCTTTTGATGAATCTAGGCAACAAGTTTTGTACAATTCCACTTGTTTATGTTTATGTTTGGTGATAAGAACAACTTTTGATGCATATGCAATGGAAGTAGGAATGCTTTTGTCTTGTTCGCATTATATATTTATATCTTTTGTTTGGCTTGCTCAATATAAATTGTGACATACCTTAACTACATATATAACAAACAACACAACTAATACCCATAATCTTATGATCGTTCCTTGCATCTGTTCACTTCAGTTTTGAGTTTTGACAACTTCAATTATTGTTTTATCTTGGATTGGATTCCAGCTTTTTATCGAGGTATCAGCCGTTATTAGCATTTGGCTCAACCCATTCCCTAAAAAACTTATGTTTTACATCGCTAACCTATGCCCTCCCCAGACACGGACGCCTTTCCTGCTAACCTAAGCCAGGTGGCGCATATAATCCCTTCACCCACACCCTACGCCGACCGCCATGCCCCTAAACCTTCTCAAACTCACCTCTTCTATTTCCGTCCACCACCACCACCACCAACGCCACCGCCATAAATGGCTACGCCGGGCAATTACCACCGGGAATTCTAGAACACTGCCTGCGATGTGCTCGGGCTGGTGGAGGATAACAACACAATTTGCACCGCAAGCTCACGTTATCAATAACAACGATTATAACAGACTAGGGTTTCGTAGTCCGAAAAATTTCAGATATTGTTCCGGGAATAAAGGAGGAAAAGTGTTTGTTGGTGGAAAAGTGAATATGGAATCGGCAAGCAGTGATAACAAAGATGACAAAAGGACAACGGAAGCTGACCACAGCTCCTCTGTCATGCCTGCATTGCCGTCGAACGACCGCCGGCACCTAAAACCTCCTCCGCCTCAACAAAATTCGTCCTCTAAATTGCTAACATTGCCTACGATCTTAACAATCGCTCGTGTCGCGGCCGTTCCTCTTTTGATCAGCAGTACGTCCCCTTCTTTCCGTTTAAATCTGATTGATTTTAGCAAGCATCAAAAATGACAAATACTATGAATTCTCTGAATCGTTGACATCTGAAAGCTGTTCAGCAGATGTGCAATTAGATATTTTGACGGAAAAGGAAAATCTTATGAATATAAACAAATTTGGTGAAAATCTCTTTGGTTTCTACAGAGGATTTACGCTCATTAGATCGATTCATTTCTAAAATTTTGGTTTGTGGTGATCTTGTGAGTTTTGTTGAAGCATGATGCTGGTTAATGTCTTATTGTTTCCATTAGACCATAGGTTATTGTCCTTATCATACTTCCTGCAAGAAAAAGAATCATAATCTCCTTAGTCTGTATCTTGTACACAGCAATTTGTTAGTTTAGTTTCAATCAGGGTCAGGATCCATATTGGATATGAATCTATGATGTAGCATTTAGTTATAAAAAGATCCTGGTAAACCATTTTACTAGACTAACATATCATTTTTCCTGTTTGATTAGCTTTTCATATGAACAGTCGATTAGGAACAACTGCCACCACTGGTATTTTCATTGCTGCAGCAATTACAGATTGGCTTGATGGGTATCTAGCAAGAAGGGTATGCATTGATATGTTTATAAACATGTATCTTCTCATTACACAAATCAATGAATCTTGGTTTTGTTTGTGATTGCAGATGAACTTAGGTACTGCTTTTGGTGCATTTTTAGATCCGGTGGCTGATAAGGTATGCGTTTTTTTTTTTTTTTTTTTATCTTCCCACTTTCAAGAATTAGATTAACAATGGATCTTCTATCTTTTATATATAGTAAAAATTGTTTGATGATTCATGTTCACAGCTTATGGTTGCTGCTACATTAGTCTTGCTATGTACAAGACCTCCAGAGGCTGCTATTTTTGGGCAACTGCCATGGCTATTGACTGTACCATCAATTGCAATCATTGGCAGAGAGGTAAATTCCTAATCTTAGCACATTGTTCATAAAAATGACAGTGATATTATTATTATTTTTTTCATTAGTTTCTAAGCTTTGATGATACTTTTAAGAATCTGATCAACAATGCTTGGTGTATTCCAGATAACAATGTCTGCAGTTAGAGAGTGGGCTGCTTCTCAAGGGAGTAAACTTTCACAGGTTCTATTCTATTCCTGTGAAAAGCAGTCATACTTTATATTTTTCTTTCATTTTTTTTTTTTAAATAATGCATCATTTTCAGGCTGTTGCTGTAAATAATCTTGGAAAGTGGAAAACAGCTACTCAAATGACTTCATTAACCATTCTTCTTGTAATTAGAGACAGCAGGTTATTTATTCTTCATTAGTCCCTTCTAAATTTCAAAATTCTAACTTTAAAGTTGTTAAACATTAAAAAGGGGCAAAATGGGGAAGTTGGGTATAAATTTTTTGGAAATACAGTAATCTTGAGTCATGTTTTATATGAAAATATGCAGTTTTACAGAAGTAGGGTTTCTGGGTACAGCAGGTGTTGGTTTCCTTTATGTATCAGCATGGCTAGCTGTATGGTCATTGGTTGTGTATATTAAGAAGATATGGAAAGTATTGATGATGATGTAGCAACATGCAACATGCAACATCAACAACTTAATACCTTGTTTTTTTCAAAACCCTTCGTATGCAGGTTAACTTGCATCACCAAATATATCTTGTCATTTTTTTTTCTTTATATGTTTCGGATGCTTATTTATCAAATTAGTTGACCTGAGGTAAAGTTATGCCAGGGTCTTATAAACGTGCATTGTAAACTGGTTACTTTAAGGATATCAGGTATTTTTTTTTTGAGTAAATTACTCGAATGGTCCATGTCGTTTGGGGGTAATTTGCATACTTGGTCCCTAACTTATATTATGCCCTTATGAATTTTTGCTTTGATTATGGACAAGATTTCTCTTGAGATTCAAGGAGAGGTGTCGATGATGTTTTGGTGTTAAAAACTAGTAATGAGTTGAATGCTAGGGTGGTGACCTAGAATACATTGTCTGATGAAAATGGATTATGAATCAACAATAAGATGGGATATGTATGATGCAATTTCAACACGGATGTAAATGGTGGAGTAGAATTATGTATTGGTGAGAAAGTTCAAGACCCTAACGCGAGCTTTGAATATTTGGGATGTATGATTCGTAAGGAAGGGGTGAGGAGGATGACGTTAACAACCGTATAAATATGAGATTGTTAAAGTGGTGAGCAGTTGCAAGAGTTTTGTATGATGAGGATGTGAAACTAAAAGGAGTATTTTTACAGGGTGATTGCAAGGTCACTGTTGTTGTGTGGCCCTGGATGTTGGTCGATTAAAAAATAGAATTTACGAAAAAATCTCAAACTAAAATATATATATACGAAAAAACATGAATTACCGGTAAAAATGATGATTTGATCATTTTTTCCCGGTTTAACAGTTTCATTACAAACTTGGTTTCATTAAAGTTCTATTATTTTACCCTAAATTACAAATAAATTCAAACTAAAATTTAGTGATGATTTGACAATTTTCTCTCTGTAACATATGTTTTATTGGTTTCATTACTAATATAAACGCCTAGTTATTAAATTAGATGTTAAGATGGATATGCTGGGTTATATAATGATGTTTACCATAAAAATTAATATCATGATGTATTGTGTAGTTTTTTGAATATAAAATGCATCCAACAATGATTGCAATAATTATATAAACTAGTAATAATTTCATAATTTTTTACGTTTATAAGAAATTTCAAATTGTCTATATAATCTTATGTAACCCAGTATATTTATCTCATAGATATCATCTCATTTCTGTCTGTTTTTTTCCTAAAAACACATATTTTACTGATTTCATTACTGACTTAGATACATAGTTATAAATGAACCGATGAGATGATTATCAAATTTCATAGTAAATGTATTATATAATTCATCGTATTTATCTTATCAGCTAATTTAATGATTAAGTGTCAAAGTTAGCAATGAAACCGATAAAATATATGTTAACTGGAAAAAATGGCAAAATCTTCACTAAATTTTAATTTGAGGTTTATTCATAAATTATGATAAAATAATGAGATTTTAATGAAACCGGATAAGTAATGAAACTAGATATGACAATTTGATACACGACACGATTAATATTATATGAACACGATACGAGTTTTCCGTATATGTGTTTTAGAAATTCGTGTTTCGTATTTATTTGTCTGACACATATTTTAAATTCGTGTTTCGTGTCTTAAATGTGTCAAACACTAATTTACCTGTTTAGACATATATAAGACACAATACAAATTCATGATGACACGTGCCACGTATATACTTTAGGGTTAAATTTTAAATTTATAATATATTAGGGACCAATTTCGTAAAAGTCAATAATTAGTTTATAGCCCTAACTTTAAAAAAAAGCTATTACAAACGTGTCTATTCGTGTTTTTCATGTAACACGACTATAAAACGTGTCTATTTGTGTCGTGTCACGTATCACACAAATTTTTTACGTGTCGTGTTCATGTTTAATACCTCAAACACGTTTAATAATTCATGTTGTGTCCGTGCTTAACAAATGAGTGTCGTGTAAATTCGTGTCTGACACGAATACACGACACATATAGGTGTCAGACACGGATTGTCAGGTATAAATGAAACGGGTAAACCGGAAAAATGTGTTAAATCGTCAATTTTACTGATAATTCAAGTTTTTTTAGTAAACTAATTTTAGTTTAGGATTTTTTATAAATTAAGGTAAAACATTAAGATTTTGTTGGAGATTTACCTAAAAAAAACAATTAATAATATATTATTATTATTTTTTTATTGTTCTGCAACATGTAACTCTAGATAAATCTTGACACAAAGAGGTTTAATGTTCAACATTATATAACTTTTGAATAGGTAAACTGTTTTTTTTCTTTTTTTTTTTTAAAAAAAAAGGAACGAATAATGAAGGTTAAGTACGGAGATCAACGTGGTTGATTCAAGTTCACAAACGAAGGTGAAGGAGAGTTGTACATCAAAATCAGATACTGTTATTACTACCTGATCATCAAATCATAAAAATGGCTGCGTTGAATCTAAGCTGCTATTATCATCTCTTTCACTCTCTTTCTCACTCCCCACCACCACGGAATGTCGCCTCTGTTTCCATTCTTCATGGTCGTAATAACATCCCTCTCTCCCCAACGCCTTTAACATTTCATCGGCAAAAGCTTCACAGCAACCTCTTGGTTCTAGCAACAACAATGTCTACTAGGTAATATATATGATGGTCTCGCCTCTTTTTTCTTAATCGAGAAACCCGTAAAGAAGCTTATAAAAGATTTAAAGAAATTTCAAATTTGTTTCAGCTGAATTCTAGCTTCTCTGTTTCTAAATTCTAATATCTGATTTGGTTTTGTTGGCTGTTGTTGGAAGTGTGCGAGACGATCTTCCGCCTGCTCTTGATTCTACTTCAGAACCACCTCCAGTCTTTGATGGAACAACTAGGTAAACTTATGAATCACCAACTGCTTGTTAAAATGCCTAAATAAACCTGGCCTGGATCGTCTAAACGGAATTCACATATATTGGAGTTGGAATCGGAGTTCCTTTTCATCAAAATCCAAACTAAATTTGCTTTGATTCCAAATTCCAATTCTGAAAACAGAACTGGAGTTCCCATATGCATTTTTGATTTTTACTTATCTGAAATTGGATTCACTGAATTCTCTTGCTTAGGCTGTATGTATCTTACACTTGTCCGTATGCCCAACGCGTGTGGATTACCCGGAATTGCAAGGCTCTCCCTCTCTCTATCAATCACTATTACCTAAAAACCCTTTTGATTATTAAATCATATTTACCCTTTGGTGTTAAATTATGAACAGGGATTGCAGGAAAAGATTAAATTAGTTCCTATTGATCTACATAACAGACCAGATTGGTACAAGGAGAAAGTTTACCCACCAAACAAGGTGTTTTTTTTTAGTTTTTTTGATTTGATACAAGCAACAATGCACAGATTACAAACACACAAAGCAAAGTTGCATGAAATTTAAGTTGTGGTGTGTTGTTATGTTAAAAAGGTGCCTGCTTTAGAACACAAGAATGAAGTAAAGGGAGAGAGTCTTGATCTCATTAAATATATCAACACCAATTTCGAAGGACCTTCACTCTATCCTGATGTAAGATTTCATCCATAATTGAAATTAAAAGAATAAGTTGATTCAGTCACTTATATAATTACAAAACTACAATATAGGATCCTCTTAAAAAAGAATTTGGAGAAGAGTTGCTATCATACACTGATACATTCAATAAATCTGTGACTACCTCATTCACAGGAGATGGGGTTGATGAAGCTGGTATATCCTGCATTACTATTTCCTTTTGAAATTAAAGACCAGTTTTGAAAATTTAAAACTAAATATAAATATATTTATAAACTGCAACAGCTGCTGGTTTTGATTATATTGAGAATGCTCTTTCCAAGTTTGATGATGGACCATTCTTTCTAGGTCAGTTGAGTCTGGTAAGTAGTTAACATATTTCCACCAATTTTATTACTTTTGATAATTGATGCTGTTGACTCATGTGATTCTTGAATAATTAATGTACAGGTGGATATAGCTTATGCTCCATTTATCGAAAGATTTCAGCCATATTTGGTAGAGGTGAAAAATTATGATATCAAGGTGGGTAGGCCAAAACTTGCAGCATGGATCGAGGTACTATTCTTTAAAGAATTTGTACTGTATGCAAGATTTGTTGTACCATCTGTCTAGTCTAAATGTCTAATGCTTTTGTGTTTGTGAAATTGTGTTTCAGGAAATGAACAAAAATGAGGATTTCAACCAAACAAGACGTGATCCAAAGGAACTTGTAGAGAGCTACAAGAAACGTTTTTTGGTATGGTTACCCAATTAACAGTCTAGTGTCTTAATTTTCTGTTGTCATAGATTTAATTTACACCTGAAATGTGTAATAAATTATGTCAAACGGGTGGTTGTGTTTCTTAAAACCATGCAGTCTCCCAAACAAGGTTAACGATCAAACCACAGAAGAGGACAATAGCTTGCTGCAGATTGATTGCCCAGGGAACTCAAAAAAAGAAATTAATATGAAGAATAATTTGTTCAAGAAATAACATGTAACGAGGGGATTTGGATTTGGTAAATCTGATTTTTAAGACTGACCAACTTGTTATCTGGTTGGTTATATGTCCATATACATATACGAATATATATATATATATATATATATATATATATATATATATATATATATATATATATATATATATATATATTCGTTAAAACTGAGTAGTCGTTGGACCTATCAAGATGCATATACATAACAAACAAAAACACATTTGATAGATCCAAGGTGGATCTATCTGAGAAACAATGAAAGAAACACAGAAAAGACTGAAATGATTCGAATTTGTATTGATAATCCCAGTTTTCGAGATATGGGTATCTCCAAGAAGAAACAAGTTCTTTACACAATTCTTCACTAAAATAAAGGAAAGCAATAACGCCTACTTATACTCACAAGCCTGGACCAGAATGACAGAGAATTACATACAACCCAAAAGTTGTTCCCATCAACAAGGACAACCTGTAGGGGATAATGGTCACGGCATAACTAACAAACAAAATACCAGTGACACTCCCCCTTCGTGCAAGCTAACTGGAAGATGTTTTGGTAGTGGTCAGTTGGTCACCCCCTTGGTTTGTGGGACCTCCTACGGTAAACCAACAGTGCTTGGGGCTTATCAACATTAAAGGTGTTTTTAGTTGTGAAAAATTGTTTTCAAAATAATAATAATAATGGAGTTATTGTTTTTACTAGAAAATTTAGAAAATATGTCGGGTTAAAACTGATTGAACTTTTTATCAGTTTCATTTTTTATTTAGTTATTTCAAATAATATAATATTAAACGTATTACCTACACAAAATTTAGCAAATATTGTGCATTGTTTGCAAGGAAATGCAAAAGTTAAGAAATGGTCCATGTGTTATTGATTTGCATAATTTCATAAATGCCCCTGTATAATCTCAAGAAATGTAGAAATTGCATATATAATATCCATGTAATAGTACAATCACAGAAATGATCCATGTATGACTACGTCCTAACATTTAGTTTACTCTTAAACTTTCAGTTTAACTGTGTTGTAAAAATTAAATAGTTGATGGGTGGTGATTATGAGTTTGGATGACGGTGGAGAGGAAGTATGGGTGTAGATGTGAGTTAGGCCGGACAGTTTGGGCGTGGGAAAGGATGCGAGAAGCTTTCCCTCTCCCATGACTTAGGGAAAGATGCTGAGGGAAGGAGGTGAGAGAGCTCATTGCCGCACTCTCTCATATTCCTTTTGGCTAATTTTTTTTAATCTTTTTTAATACTTATCAAATTATATACCTATTAAAAATTATAAAAATATATATCAAAACTCATGTTTTTAATTCCCTATAAAATAAGTATAATATTTATAAGAAATGTATATATTTTTTAAAAATAAAAAAATAATGAAAAATTTTCCACTCATTCCTTGGATTTTAAGTGAATGAAAGGAAAATGAAGAAAATGGTGTGAGGATAATTTCCCACTCACACCCTCCGATCTTAGGATGGTTGTTGAGGTGAATTTTTTTATATATAAATTGAATATTGGAAAAATTGTTTTTTAGAAATACTTTGAAAAACATATGGAATCAAACACGTTTTCTAACTTTTCATTTTTTTTCAGAAAATTTCTGTAAAAAACTAAAAAAAAAAATCCACAACCAAACCAGAGGTAGTTAAGTTGGTTTCCAGCAGAGCAGTAACTCACTTTTAAGCCACTTACCGGTAAAAAAATGTCCGCAACCCTTTTGTTGATTTGTTCACAAACTATCATATCATTTACCAGTTTACTTACAAAGAAACCAAAATCCCAAACTCTTTTTAAGAAAAAAAAAAGTAAAAAGGTAAAAAAATCCACACAAAATTATTGGCGTATGAAACTATTATAACAAGAATCCTCCTCCGCTAGGAACAGGACTGGAAAGAAGATCAAAGGGCTTCCCAAGTGCATCTTTCAGAATCGTAATCTGACCTTCTTTCATCAACACATCCTCATCAAGCGCTTCCACCTTCTTCTTCAACATCCCAACCTCCGAACTCAAAAGCATGTTATTCTCGCTGTACCTCTGCACCTCCTCCCACATCATATCCCGTTCCTCTGAAACTTTCGGTAAGATCCCGTTCACAATCGACAGTTCCTTTTTGCAATCCTGCAGACTGTTTTGCAGTCGATAAATCCCCTCATCCTTTTTCATCACCTGTTTGTTAACACAAATTAGTTTTCTTCTCTAAAATTAGGGTTCCTTTGTTTTCCAGATTTGCCTACCTGCATCTCAAGCTCTTTCATCTTGTGAGTTATACAAGAAAGAGTGTCCATTGCATTTTCAACTTCACATCTCAGAATATCGTTTCCTCTGACAGCAGTTGCCAGCTCAGCCTCCAGCCGCTCTACATCCACCTCTTTCGCGTAAAGTTTTTCCCTCAGTAAACTTGTTATCAAAGCCTCTGCTTTCAAATCACACTTTACAACATCCTGCACAAGTTTACATAAAATATAATAACTCTACATTAAACTCTATAAAACCTACAATTTACATTAATAAAACGTAAAAGTTGGATTATATATATTTTTTTACCTCGCTATCTGAAGTTCCTGTGGAGGACTTGGACTTGTCACGTACCACATCAGACACAATCTGCAAACTCCTTGTTAAGCTTTCTGCTCCCCTCTTAAACCCTTGAAGTTTCATATCAGCTTCCATGATCAATTGACTATCTAACCCATTCTGTAATGCTTCATTGGTTTCCAAAGAGGAATGACATGCTCTCGCTTTGATATTTTCCAATAACTTTGAACATAAAACCACACAATCTTTAATCAAACACATTCCTTGATTTTGCAAGCACTGAACACGGCTCCATACTTCCTGATCAAGCTTCAAGGTGGAAAAGCCATTTTCCTTTGAACTCCCTTTTAAACGGTGTAAAAGGTTTATATTTTCATGCCTAAGAGAATCAACCTCAACCCTATAAGATTCCACCTCCTTTCTCAAAGCCTGTTCAACCCCGGTTAACCTCAACTGCTCCATCTGCAACTTTGACCGCAGTTCATGGTCAAAGTTACTATTCTCCAATGAAGCGTTTTTCTTCATTTCTTTACTAACCCCTTCACGCAACCCTTCAATTGTTTTGTCTTGTTCATTGCAAGTTCTGAGAAGTCTTGTAACAGCCCTATGCAACTCCTTGCATTCTTTATCTTTCTCAATGTAGTTTCTTTTGAAACAATCCCTATCCTCTTCAGCTGCTCTGTGTTTATCTTGTAACTCAGAAAGATTTTGATGCAGATTTTGATTCTCCTCAGCTACTTCCTCCATCCTTAAAGTCAAATCCTTGACTTGTTGACCCGAATTCTCAACCCTGCTTTGACTATCTAACTCCCTTTCACCATACAATGATACTTCCCTTTGAAGAGACACGTTTTGTTCAGCCAGCTCCCTTACCCTCTCTCTCAACCTATGCTCTTCCATTTGGTATTTTTCAAGCTTCATTGACCATTCGGTTGACCGCCGATCCAATTCCTTTTCCAATGCCGCCTGCAACTCCTTCTTCTCTCTTTCCAGTTTCCGAGTCCGGGAATGCAATTCCGCCCTTAGTAAAGAGACCTCATCAGCTTCTTCTGATTCCTCATATTCCAAAACCCTACTGCAATCATCATCATCATCATCATCATCATCATCATCAAGCCCATCTGGAGACAATCGATTGTGGGACCCACCGTAGATATCTTCTAATGTGATTGGAATGTCATGTTCGAATTCTTTCGAGTCAACCCTTGGCAAAACACGAGATTGAGAAAGCCTTTCGATCACTTGTTTTGCTAGTTTTCTTGGGGATCCATGAACAACCCCATTTTCAACCCAATCTCTAGTGGACATATAGAGTTTGGATTCTCTGTTGGGGTCTCTGAAGGAATGTGACCTCGGTTTCTGTGTCAAACCACCACCTTCGGTAGCAGTAGGTGGTGGTGGTGGTGATGATGGTGCTGCGTATTGGAATCTTGGTGGTCTTTTTCCACCACCATTTTGAGAATGATGACCTTTAATGTTGGAATTGTTGTTTCTGCTGATCTTTTCTTGATGTTGTTCACCATCAATGTATCGATCAAGAATCTTGTTTGATGCATTTGTTGAGCAATAAGATGAGCTTTCTAATGAAACATTATCGACTCCGGTATTTTCTTCAAACCATTTTGCCCTTGAATGCCTCTCTGGGGTAAGAGCTCGACTGAAACAATCAAAAATAACAACACAAAATCAAAAACCATCACAAGTTTTAAAAAAATATATATATAAAAAAAAGTTATATATTTACAAAGAATGCCTAACCGTGAAGAACTACGAGGAGCAGATTGCTTGTGAGAGACATTACTGCTGCTGCTACAAGCAGAGTCACTTTGAGTTCTGAGCATCACACTATCAACAAAAGTTCCTGAAGAAAATGAGCGACTCCTTCTAAGATGTGGACTGGTTTGAATTTGATTTTGATCTTCAAATGCAGCTTTTTTAGATCTTGATTTACGGGTATCTTGAACTTCATCTCCAAATGAATTCTCTTTGGATTGAGATGGTGCTTGATTGTTAGATGTGGATGACTTGAAAAAGAAGAGCTTTTTCATCTTTCTATCCCTTGTAAATTTTTACTAATCACAAAACTACCTGAAATTATATAGAAATTGATTAGCAAAGTGGTCAAACGATCGATAATTGAAATGAAGAACACAAGAAGAGCTTTGTGAAATAAGCTAGTGTGATTGCATTCAGACATACCCAGATGGGATTGTTTCAAAATGATGAAGAAGATGTAGAGAAGTAAGAGCCACAAGTTGAAAATTCCAATGCATTAAACCCTAAATTCCACAAAAGAACCCACAAAAGAAACGGCAACTATAAATTACTCTGATAGTAAAAAAAATACATGCTGACATTGACTTCAGAAAACCCTTTTTATAATCATGAAAAACAGAACCCTGAAAGAATCAATAAACGTGGATTTCATTTATGATCGAATAACATGTGTCAGTAGCTTTTGTACATACATATATCAAACTGTTCATGTGGGGAAAAAAGGACCAAAGTACCCTCGTCGTCTTCATTTCTCTGATATTCTGAAACCCTAATTCTCTCAAAAACAAGAAATCCCTAAAACCCTAAAAACTCAGATATTAATTGAAAACCCCCCGAAAGTGAGGGGGAATTAACATGAACGAGTCGAAATCACCACAACCATCCCTTTCAAATTTCAAAAATAGGAGTAATGATTGAGAGCGAATTAACATGAACAAGTTAAATCAAAATCATGTAATAAATAATTCAACATACGAGATTGATCAAACCCCATAAAGTCACAGACGCAATTATACACACAAATGCAATGCACCCGACTTGTGATAGAGTTTGAGAGTTACCGATAATGGCGCTGATGAAGAACTAGCCAGCGGTGGGTGTTGCAGATAGAAAAAGCATTGATAGAGAGGGAAAGAAGAAGGTGGAATGGAAGTGAAAGAGAAAAGGAAATGGCAATGGAGTCTGCTTTTGTGGTTGTGGTCATCTTTTTGTGCTTTGTTGGCTCGCAATTAGGGGTGGATTGAAAGAGCCAAAAGTTGAGGGGGTGGTTTTGTTCATAACTGTAAAATTTGAAAGTTTCGATACCGCGGAGACGGCGGAAGGGAGGAGCGTACTTTTTTCTGGTGTAGGGATCGAGAGCGCACGGGTGCAGGAATTATCGGTGTACCTTCATCTTCTTTCTAAACTTTGTTAATTTTTTGATAATTTCACGTTTAAGTTTACAGCATTTAATTTAATAATAATTTGAGATCATAATAATAATTAATACATCAAACTATTTTGAAAAAGAAACATATTTACCTATCAAGATCAAATGTTGTAATTATTTTATTTTTTACACACAATAAGGATACAAATTTTATGTTTTATCATGGCTTGATATATAAAAGACGATGCACATTAGAATTTTCAGATTTGTAAATCTATTTTTACACAATTTTTTCTTTAATTATGTATAATTTTCTGTTTGTTAAAAAAGTTTTCATAACCAATAGTGGATTCATAAAATAAGTTTATAAATGGAGTAAATTGAGTTTGCACAGTTTTAGGTTTCAATCAAAAGGAAAAGTATGCATAAATATTAATCTCTAAACATAATTTTATTTTATTAAATGCCAATCTAAATAAATACTATAAAATTTTATTTTGAGAAACTTAATTACCTTTTTTTTCATAATTTTATTTTATTAAATGTCAATCTAAATAAATATTATCAAATAATTATTTTGAAAAACTTAATTACCTTTTTTTTTTGTTACATTGCATGTAAAAGCAAGAAAAACGTTTTGTCAGTGGAATGCAACTTGGCAAAAATCAGCAACACCTACTAATAAATGTGAAAAACTGTATGAATCACAATAAATATCTTTTTAATTATGAAATGTCAAAATTAATACCATCCGTTAGGAGGGGGTATAGTAATATATAAATTATTAGGGGCGTTTAATTTTTGGTTTGGACCTAAAAAAGGGATTTTGCATTTATATTAATTGACATATTTCAAAAAAAATCATTATATTTGAGAGTTTTTCAGATAAAATTCGCAGTGGCTTTTTTGAAAATAAAAACCTTTAAATGAAAAAAAAAAATCAATAGTTAAAAACAAAAAACAAAAATAAAAACAAAAGTTTCATAAAAATCCTAAATAAAAATTTTTATATTATAATATATAAGTTATAAAGTCTTCAAGTCCTAAACCATAAACCGAAAACTCAACGGACTACATAATACTCGCTTTATGCTTGAATTTGGTTTGAACTTTGATTCGTTAGTTTGAAACCAACCAACTCACATTAAATTAATATATTTGAAAAAAAAAAAAAAAAAGTCTCATCTAATTTTGCCTTTTTTATAGTTTTGTTAAGTATTATCTACAGTCATAAGTCATTGTATTTTTTTTATAAGATAAATACAAAAAATAAACCGATAATGTTTTCTTGACAGATAAAATAGAGATCAATTATTTTTGCATCATCATGTATTTTACAAGATAAGAGCGGCTTGTGTATGTATTTTACAAAAGCATGACATATGGTACAATTATGTTTATCTTTAGCCATACATCATGATGCAGCATTATGCATAATCTCATCATCCATATGGATATGGGGTCCATGCATGAGCTTCATTCCACTTTTCCATAATACCTTCGACATGAAGCCCTTATAAAATGCTTGTGATCCTTCCACTAATCATGGTCCAAAGGCTAAACTAAAGTCTAAAGGTGTCATCTTTTCGTAATTATGAATTCAGTCCTTCAAGTACAAAGCTTATGACAACACGGTCCTTTCACTAAGATGATAGACATATAATCTATTCATGTGTAGTGCCATTTGGCTTGTATGGAAGTCATTTTCAAATGTTGTTTGAAAAATTCATACGTATCTCCATTGGTGTGTCCATGCACAGATGTGACCCCTGATGTTGATGTGGAAATGATGGTTACGCTCTAACAAAAATAATAGTAAATTTATTGTCTCAATTTGAAACGAAATGGTTTATTTAAGAGAATCCATCGTTCGCGTTCACAAATCACTAGATTTGACAGTTTTATTATATAAAACAAAATCACATCATAGGAAACTCTCAAACATAGAATGTGACCATGTCAATCATACAAATTTGTAAAATGCAATGTTTTAAGAACCATGATTTTATTCAAACCGGTCTAATAATTGATTAATTGGTTCCCGTTTTGACAATCAGGTCAATCACATAACCAAAAAAATTTAGTTTTTCTGCGTACATATATACATCAATCCAGTTACATAAAAAAGAAAACATAAAATGTAATAACAAAATAAAATATAGTTTTAGATAAATACAAACATACAAAAAACTTCATAATATTTATCATTTTTAGTAACAAAACACACTACTTAAGAAAATACATCAAAAAGAAAACATAAAAGATAGTAACAAAACAAAATATAGGTTTAGATTTAAATGCATAAAAAATTTTATAATATTTACCTTTTTTAGTAACAAAACCAACTATTTAAACTATAGAGAAAAACATATTAAATATCCGATGTAAAGAATTTTTTCTCATTTTGAGGGTCTATTAAGTTGGTCAATATAAACATTAGAAATCAAATTAAACGTTACTAGATTATCTCATATTTTCACTCTCTACAATTGCAAATGATGGATATGGAGATAGTTATCAAACAAAAGATGTAGACATCAATTAAAGTCTAAATAGATGTAAAAAAAAAAAAATTACATCAAAGTTTATTATATAAAATATGCACCAAAGTTTACTATATAAAATATGCATTAAACCGAAGCTCGTTTTCATGCGTAAAAAAAGTGCACCAAAGTTCATTCCAGTCTAAAAATATGCATTAAACAGAAGCTAGGCTTTCTCTTGTTTGGCTTGCGGCTGATACGAACCGGTAAAATGTAATGTTAAATTCTTCAAAGAAAATTAATTAACAAAGGTCAAGTATTTCAACAAGAAGGATTGAAGCTTGCTGATTTTGTAAAAGGGAGGTCATTATTTGCATCTACTATCATAACTACATCCGATAATTACAAATGATTAGTCGATTTAAATTTGGTTAAAACAGGTGAATCATTTAAGCCTAGATTGTTTTTGGGACATTAATCATAGTCTAAAAAGACGATATTTGGGTCCATCATTTAACATCCCTAAAGCAGAAAAAAGGAGACGAAAAACACAAAAAATATAACAAATCAAGTTGCTCCAGTTATATCTTGTTTAACATCATCATCCATCATTCATACGAGTCCAAAATCAAGAAAGTCATAGTTGAGAATATATTTCCTCAATCCTTAAAAAGTTGACAAATTCACCATTTTGATTTAACCAGATTCACTCCCCTCTGGTGAAGCATTGTTGACATCATCATCCTCCTCAACAGGCGTCCCAGTCCCAGTCCCAGTCCCACCATTGCCTCTAGGAGCAGGGCTAGGGCTCCTACTGTGTCCATTTTCTTCAGCAGGGACACCATCATCATCTTCCATGGGGCTCCTACTTGCCGCCGCCTTAGGCCGCCTTGGTGATAGTGAAGGTGATTGCGATGGTTGCAGGGCGGCAGTTCTGTCATCAGGCGATGGGCTGCTGCTGCGCTTCCTCCCTTTCGATGGTGGTGGTGATGCCCCCCTGTGTCTCCTTGGGCTTCTCGATCTTCTCTCTGCACGTTCAATGCTCCTTTCCCTCTCCCTCTCCCTCTTTACAGGTGACCTTGATTGGCTATACATAATTCAATCAAAATAACACAAATTAATAATTAAAATATTACACAAATAAATGAAAGCATGTTTTGGTATTTCTTGCATTTAACAATGAAGACAAAGTAACCTGTAGCTACGACTCCTGCTAAAACTACGACTACGGCTTCTTCCACGCCTAGGTGGCGATGGGGTCCGCGAGTAACTTCTCCCACGCCTGCTTTCAGCACTTGATAACAAACAAACAAACAAACAAAATTAAAATTTTCATTAATCAAATAATAATAATAATTAATAAAACAGCTTACTTGACTTTCTTTGGACTATTCTGACAATTCCTTTCTATATGACCACG